TTTTTTTTTTTAATGGAACTTTCATGAAATGAAAGCGAAAGTAAAGACATGATTAATTCATAATTCCGAACATGGCTTTTGAACTCATCTTATATGCCGTTTATGAATTGTGAGGCCTAATTATTGATTACAGTGATTTTAGAATTCATTATCTATTTATTCAAGTAGAAATATGTTCATTTAAACCTGATGAAGCTTCATTGCACAAGCTCTTCATTTATCATATCTTTGCTAATAAAAGAATACTTAAATATGTAAGAATAACAACTAAAAAGACATCCAAATAAGCTTTTTCTGTTCCATTCTTTTTAGTTACAACCAACACGTTTATTTTGGAAACAAGCTATTGGGAGATAAATCTTAATTCCCTTGACAACGGTTTCAAATTATGGAAAATTGAGAGGAACGATGAAATCTAAAACGAGGATGAAGGCAATTGTTGATTAGCTAAGAAGTGTGATACAATCTGCTGTGCTTGCCTTGGAGCAAACGTTGGAACTTGGTGCCCAGCACCTCGAACTGTTATAAAAGTTAGTCCATCAAAGATGATTGTCCAACCACCTACCTGAATTGCTAAGAAAAATGAGTAATTTTTTCAATATTTTGAAGTTTTGACCAAATATATTCAAAATTATTGTGTTACCTGCTGCCTGTTGTACCAAGGTTTCCATTCCTGAGTAGTGTTCAAGCCAAGCTTACGAAGGGTTAATCTTGTTGAGGTTACTGGAATCCTACCGTCAGTGTCTCCGCTGCACCAGGAAAGTTGTTAATTTATGAGGAAGTCTTATTATTTCTTCTTTTCCTACATGAAATTCCTGGAAATTCTATGGATAAGCAGAACATAATTTTATTAGGCTGTCCCTCTTGAAAATTGGCTTAATTTAATATACTTGATTATTATTTCCGTGTACTTTCATGGATATATGCTTTGCTTAAGGAAGAGTTTAGTATTAAAGAGCAAGCAAAGTGTAAATCAAATGAACAATCCTACACAAAATTGAGCATTTTTTTAGCAAACTTTGCTCCAGCATGATTTTTGGATTCCTACCTGTAAACCCAAACTCTGATGCCACCATTAATGAGCTTTCTTATGATAGGCAGTACGGAGGCAGGCGCATCATTCCATTTTTCGATGGCATCACTAATAAGAAAATAATAATAATAAAAAGATTTGTCAAAGAAAAAGCTAAATTGATATATA